TGGCTAAAAATTAGTCAGTTGCTCCTAAAATTATGCCAAACATCATTTCATTTTAATTTTTTGTTTCTTTCCCAACTGACTTTTAGAGGCCACGCTATCTCAGACATGCATTATACTTTATCTCTTTTACGTGTAGCATTGTTTGAGATTTTGAAGCTGATTGAGACACTTTGAGACATGATCGAACCCATTGTCTTTATTATTTATGAACTGTAAGCAATGTAGCAATACTTATCTATACAAAGTTTCTGGGTACTTCTGTTTGATAATGAAGTGAGACTACGCAAAGCTACCTCCTATTTGCATGTTGCCTCTACATTGCTTTCCGAGGTTTATGATTATTTAAATAGGATTTATTAACAAAATTAATAGTCCTTTTACTTGTTGATAAACCTTTTTGTTTCTGGGTTGGATTTTGTTGATAACAAGAAGGGGCGACGACAAATCTTTTTAGGGGGACTGACACTGTTTTTGGTAAAGTTTTAGTTACAAAGAAGGGAGAATTGTAATGAAATCTCAGAAAAAGAAAATAATTACAAAATAATTTTTAAAAAATTGTTATTTTCTTTTTTGAAACTTGTTACTGCTAGCTGCTTATGTTGTTATTGGAGTTGTTTAGTAATTACTTTCTTTCTTTGAGATCTTATTATAACTTTCCTTAAAAAAAAATGAACACAATTATTATTGTCGAGTTGACATTGGGTTGGGCCAAACTTTTTGATCCCGTTTGATGCGAAGCATAAAAAGAATGAGATTGGAATTGAAATCGCCATTAAAAAAAATCATTACAATAGTATTTGGCATAAGTAATTGCTTGTTACATAGGATTAGATAAACCCATAGAGGTGGGATTGGGGAATACTATTTTTTTTTATGGTATTCTCCAATCTCACATACGTGGGTTTAACTAATCCCATAGAACAAGTAATCTCTCATGCTAAACATTCTTTTAATAGATTTTCTCAATCTCAATCCCAATTTTTATCTCTAATTTTCAACGTTTTCTACCAAACGGGACCTTTGGCTTCTTAACTTTTTGGTCTTCTTAGGAATTAATCATCCCATCAGTTTGTTTTTAAGTGGCGATTATTGGTATGCTCCACTAAATAAAGCCGAGTTCAACATCTTATGGCTCATCTTCAAGTTTTGAACTTGAGGTTTATTTGTGTTATTTGAGTGAATGTGATGTACTCCCTTTCATTTGTTCCTTTTTATATATATTCTAGATGATCTTTTTTATCCTCAATATAAAAGAATTTGCAAAATTCAGGGAAACATTAATTAATGCATGATTTTCAAACATGTCCGTGGTAATTTTAACTAGGTATATTTTGCTTTTTAGTCTCATGTTATTTCAAGTCTATGTTGTTTTCTTAGGCTAGTACTACCTCTGGTGCTTAATATAAGAACTAGAAAACTAATTTAAAAAATTTTAATTAAATTAGTTATTTGCATTGATTTTTCTAAATTACTTTTTTTAATCCTGTGTATTGGACTGCCTCTTCGTAGGAACCTCTTACATTCAACAAGAATATTTTGAAAAAATAATTATAAAATTGAAAAACAAAATGAATTACGTTCTTATATTCAAAACTTTCAAACTAGCTTTTATATTAAGTTTGAAGTTAATATTAATTATTTTGAGTCTTTCATCAACCGGCTTTTAGTAGTCCCCAGCCAATATATTATGTCGAACTTTGAATCAAGTTCTGAAGTATATATTGTATCCATCATTTGTAGTCAGACTTTTGGTTGAATAAGAATTTTTACGTTATGAAACTTCTATAATTAAGAGTAAACTCTTTCAAGATTCTTGTTCAAACTAGCCAGTAAACTTACCAAAACTTCATATTCTGGTGTCTTTTGACGCTTCAATCTTTTGTTCTTTCATGCTCATCAAAAGGTTCAGGGGAATCTCACGTTGCTCTTATTTACTACAATCGCAGTGCGTGTAAATCATATTGGTTGTGAGTTCATGATATCTATTTGTGATGGGTTTGCGCCAATTTTTTATGTGCCATCTCTCTATCAAATTTTGTCTCATAATTAATTAAAAACCGAGGGCCAAAAGAAAAAAGAAAAAGAAATTCAAAGATTCTCAAACAATTTAATTCGAAAGGTAGAATGAAGTGTGGAATTCAAGTTGAACATCTCTGATCGGTCAATGAAATTTGAGCCCTAAAAGCCAATAAATGAAAGCATTTTCACACTAAAAATTTTGGGGACCAGAAGATGGGTGGCAAAGCGGCACGCGTGCTCCAACAAAGACAAATTCACCCACACACCCCCAATTCATTCGACCCAACTCTTTTCCATTTATGCATATATTAATGTATACTTTATATATATAAGTATATATATATAATATTAACAATAATAATCTCTACGTGCTAACCACCATCTTCAAATTTCTAATTATTATAAAGCTACCACGCTTGGCTTCCCATACCCAGCAATGTCCCAACTTTAATTTGCTTCTGTTGTGTATATATGTGTGTGTGTATAGTGTGTGTGTGTGTGCGCGCGCGTACATTTCCTAGTTTAGAATTGTCAGTGCTTGCGTGGCCAACTTTGATTTGTCTATTAACCAAAAACATGAAACCCCAAGGCCACTTTAAAACCAGGCTGGTCTTGTTTTGTCTTAAACTGCTCTACAATGAACTAGAAAAAAGTTATGCACTTTATAGTCCACTTTCTGTAAACAACAAGCACGCTATACTGACTTGGTTATCCATTATAGTCTTCCATTATTGTGCCACTTTCTCAATTGTTACCAAACTCACAACAGCCTTAATTATATTTGATGACTGATTAGAAAGTAATTCCTTCCAAGACTTTTTTTTTTTGGCCAAAGCATAGGTATCATCTTATTAGAAGCAACCATATTTGAGGTACAAAAATGTGTTGCTTTTCTCAAGATACTGTCGTTAATCATTTACAATGAAAACTATCCCAATATGAAAACCTTCGTTTAAATTGTACAATTAGGGATAATTTGGGAGGAACATTATAAATTTTGAAAACCAAATGGATTCAGATTTTACATTGGATTAAGATGCAAATTTACCCTATAAGTTTTTGCTCAAGAGCAATATTGTCCCAAGAGTTTTTTTTAGGTTCAATGTCGCCTATAAAGTTTCAAAATATAGCAATGTTACCCCACGTTAAAAACTAATGTTAACTGTTAAAAAATTGACGTTAACAATTAGCATTTTTAATAATAAGGATTGCTCTATTTCAATACTCCTAAGGCAATCTAGAACCCAAAAAAAACTTTTTGAATAACATTACTCTTAAGTGAAAACTTTTGAGATAAATTTGCACATAAATCCTTTTACAGTTAAAATTAAAGCAAACTTCCTAATTAATTCCTACATTTAGTACTGATGGGAGTATCATTTTTTAACGTGGTAATCTTATTAATTAGTAGCTAATTTGTAAGTTTCTATATAAATATTATAAACCATGAGACCTCCCTTAACCATCCAAGTTATTTAAATTTCTTTTTCAAACAAAAGGAGAATTTAATTACTGAAATTTAAGACCACCACTTTATTTTTCTAAATTCATGCATATATATATATAAGTTGATTGATTAAAAAATTCCCTTAAGAAAATAGCTTAAACGAGTCTAGTTATAATAATATAATTATGAATTTGTGTTCAATGACTAGGTTATATGAACTCATGGTGGGATTGAGGTCATGTTTGTCTTTTGCTGATCATCACAAGTGACTGATCCAGCCAAACTATTATCCTCTCAATTCCGGCAGCTTAATTATGCAATAGATCAAATTAAAAGGTTTTATTAAACTACGCTATCCAATGAGTTGATGATAACGATAAATATCTTAAATGAAAAGAACTTAATTTCTTTATCCACTGTCCCACTAAACCAAATAATGCATATTACATTCTGAAGTTGCGACTTATAATAATGATTGGATCAGTAACGTTATTAACAACACAAAATGATAATTAGCTTTACAGCAAAACTGGCTGAATTTCAGAAAGCCAGTGTCAAATTTCTGAAGCACTCGTGGTAAAAATTTGATACTCATTTCGCAATTTATACAACTTACCGATCTTCCAAAATTTAACATGGTATATTTTGGGGAAAATGGTAATTATATAATATTCAGTTTAGTTTTCAACCTCTAATATATTTATAATATAATATGTTTCGTCCAAAACATTTTTCCATTTAGTATCCCTAACTAACTATAAAACTTCCTAATTAATTATCCAAACTGCTCTAACCAATAATTTTTATTGAGAGTGATTTTGATATTTCACAAGAAATAACTAATTTTAACCAGCTTTATTAATTTACGTAAATTTTTTATTTGTTACTTATAATACAAATTTGAAGGATATTATATTATTATTAAACTGTTATTTAACCAAAACTTTGAAAGCTTTTGGTGCCAAACTGAAATTAAACTGTTATATTGATTCCTAAATGCAATTTCCCCTTTTCACTTGACATATACCAACTACCTAAACTAGTATGCAACTATCAGTTTAATAGACTTATATGTACGATGGTAAAGTCTTCTTCTTTTTCTTTTTTTCTTTTTTTTGAGTGAATGAAGTCATCTTTTTACATTGTGGGGTCGTTTGTTAATGCCCATCCCTCACAAGCCACAACTTCAGAAACAGCCATAGATTGATAAAGTTCTAGTTTTTTTAAGACAATCATATAACAACGAACCAAACCAATTAATGACAGGCATCTTCATATTATATTACAAGGGAATCCAACTAGTCCCTGGCTATAAGGCCTACTCTTGTAGCTTAATCAGTGATTTAGCAACTTTTAAGAAAAGTGCGTCTTTTAAAAATTATAACAAATAAAAGAAGGCTGTTAATTCCTTCAAATTTTCATTATATAAACTGTCTATAACTGTCATACATACTATACTGTCACAGATATACCATCACCACCTAAGTTTCCTAGAACTGAAGCTGCAAGGAAATATCAAAAGAGTTGAAGAGAAATGAAGAGAAACACAAATAATTCTCTGCTCTTTCTCCTCTTCTTACTGATTCTTGTCTTGTTGACCTCTTGTTGTTTCATTTCTGTGGAAGCAAGGAAGAGTCATAACAGGACAAGAAAACCTCATAAACATCACGGCCATGGCCACCATGCTCATTCTCAGAGTCCTGCCTCATCTCCAACTCAAACTCAAACCTACACTTTTGATGTTGTGTCTTTCGGAGCCAAGGCCAATGGGATTTCTGATGATTCCACGGTAAAGCAAAAGTAACCATAATTTACATACAAAGTGGTGAGGTTCTTAGGTATATGACGAATTTGTTAAGTGAGTTCTGATAATAAGTAAAGCTTTTATTTTTTGTGCAATGTTGATTGATTAAGCAGGCATTTTTAGCAGCATGGGAAGCTGCCTGCAAAGTTGGTGGTACAGTGAAAATTCCAGCAGAACACAGATTCCTAATCATGCCCATTACTTTACAAGGACCCTGTATGCCTCACCTCACTCTTCAGGTTTGCTTTTCTGTTCTGTTTACCACGGTTCATTGATTCCTAAAGAAGCAATATCCAAAGCAGGAAAACTAAGAGGAAAAGTATATATTCTGTTGAATGATATAATATTACTGTTAAAAGATTGCATGTTTATTATATGGCATCAACTTTTATGATGTTCATGGATTTGTGCCATATTTACTGTCAAACCCAACAAACTTTCTGCTAAAGAGAATGTTAGAGGTTACGATAAAATTATTGGTAAAGTTTATGCAACTTGGAATGTTAGGCCAAAAGAATGAAAGTTAAAATGGTCCATGAAACCAACATTTCTTGGTCCGAGGGATAAGGACCTAAATTCTCTTCATGTAATTCATCATGTTCGAGATCTGTGAATTAAAAATAAAATAAAAACTATAACTTTTAGCAGGTCTATTTAGCCCGATTCAAATTAGTCAGAGCAGAATACAACTTTTAAAGACAGAAAGAACAAATCCAAGAAAAATGGTCCTGTTAAAACAAACTTTCATTTTAGGAGAGAGAGTCACCATGCTTCATAGAAACGGATCAAATATAATTTGTTTTCATACAGATAGATGGGACTCTGATGGCTCCTCCTGCAATATCTTCCTGGCCAAAATCCAGTTTATTTCAGTGGATAAATTTCAAATACGTCCACAGCTTCACCATCCAGGGTTCTGGCACCATAGATGGCCAAGGCTCTAACTGGTGGACCTCCTCACAGATTTCTCCCATGCAGGTATGATTCAACCAAAAAGGAGGGGGGCAAAAAAAAGCATATTCAATTTAAGTATCTGTGAACAAAGTTTATTGAAGGATATTTAGAACGAGAAACTGACTTGGACTTATTTTTTTCCAATGAATTCCCACAGAAGAAGGGATATTATTCTCAACAGATTCCAGGCATGAAGCCTACTGTAAGTTGTAACATGTCTGAGACATATTTGTTTAGTAATGTGCTACATTTCTCGTCAGGTGTTTCTCACTAAGGGCAATGTCCATGTTTTTGCAGGTTGTAAGGTTTTATTCTAGCAATGATGTAACCGTTCGTGATATCACAATCATAAATAGTCCTCTGTGCCATCTAAAGTTCGACAATTCAAAAGGGATCAAAGTGAATAACATTACAATATCTTCCCCAGAAAATAGCCAAAACACTGATGGTATTCACTTACAGAACTCACAGGATGCCGAGATTCAACATTCCAACATTGGAAGTGGTATGCCTTGTGTTTTTACCATAAATTCTTAATTATTAATATACAACCTCAGTATTATAATTCACAATTTACCTTACTTTATAGTAAACTAGTGATGGCACATTCCTCTCCTACCTTGCAAAACAGATAAATTATTAATGATGCCGTATGGTGTATTGCACTATAGAGACCTTGCTAAGCTAAAAGATGTCCACTTTGACTAGGACAATGATTGAATCAGAAAACCTTTTGAGGTTTAAACAGTAAACGGTCACAGCAGTTAACTTTTGAGACGTGCTTTTAAAAAATTATATACCTAATTACAGAGCCAATTTTATATTTTGCAGTACTGTTGGCATGCTAGGCATCCAACTTAAATCATATTAAATTTTACTAGTGCAAATAATATCTATTTTTAAGTACTTGATTCTCATATCTTTATCAGAAGCTAAAAACAATGTTCTGTTTCCAATCTTTGACAGGAGATGACTGTGTATCCATCCAAACTGGTTGCTCAAATATTCATATTCACCATATTAACTGTGGCCCAGGACATGGTATAAGGTAAAAAACTAATACTGATAGTTGGCTATATTCTATTCTATTTTATTAGTACTACTATCATTAAAAAAAACTACTAATATCATTGTCTTTTTAATTGTTCTGACTTCAGCATAGGAGGATTAGGAAAAGACAGAAGTGCGGCATGTGTTTCCAACATCATGGTTAATGATGTTTCAATGAAAAACACACTATATGGAGTAAGGATCAAGACATGGCAGGTATATATATAGACACATATATGTGTGTGTGTGTGTGTCTGTATGCATTGAACTAATTACAGAACAAACTTTTCTCTATATTTGCTAAGTGAATAGGATATTATACTGATATCTGAGTTGTTTTATGGAACTAGGGTGGCACTGGGATGGTAAAGAATGTGTCGTTCTCAAGAGTCCAAGTGGAAGATGTGAAGAGTCCAATAATGGTAGACCAATACTACTGTGACAAGCTTGTGTGCAAGAACCAGACAGGAACAGTGGTGATTTCTGGAGTGAAGTTTGATAAAATTTATGGGACTTACGCATTTCAACCTATACATATAGCTTGTAGCAATTCCATACCTTGCACTGACGTTGATCTAACTGATATTCACCTAAGGGCGTCACTTAAGTACAGAGGTTTTCAACAAGCTTTATGTTGGAACTCTTATGGCAAATCTCAAGGTCCCTTGCTGCCTTCAAGCATTGACTATTGCTTGAGAAGTGGTGGGGGTTATATCAAGAAGATAGCTAGGTCTCATGATAGTGTGTGTTACTAAATATTTGTGGGCTTTAAGATTTCGTTTGAGCCTTGTGTAATGGAAGCTTCCCTTCTCCTCAAGTTTTTTCTTTGTGGGAAGGTGATGCTGTAATTTAACTCTATTTTCTCCTGATGCCCTGTAATATTACTGTAATCAAAATATTGATGGAGGCAAAGTATTTGGGTCTGGCGTTTGTGTGTGTGTGGTAGGTGTGCGCCGCCACCCCCCGCCGCCCCCCGGGGGGGTGGTTTATCTTAAAAAAGAAAGCTAGAGAACAAGGGTAACGGGTGGGAGGCACGTTCTTCTGCCTGCCATTCTTGATTTTTTGAGGGGGAAAAAATAACTAGAACTAAAGTGGAATATCACTTAATGGAGTAGTACTCAATTGATAGAATAGCATTTTTCATACGATTAGACTTAAACCCGCACAGACGAACAAGTCAACATCACTTTGAATCTGAGATTTTATCCAAGCAAAGCAAGCAGCGCCATCACTAGGATAATATTGACATATACTCGTACATGCATACTTCTCACCACTTTAGAGGCTCATTCCGAATATAAGAAAGGGTAGGAGGTATCACCTACTCTCATGGCAATCGCTTTTATAGTACTTATTTACATTTTCTTTTATCTCTTGTTACAAATTCAAACATGAAGTTAGGGTTTTGATTTGGTTGGTACCACTTGTTCAAATGCTAACCAGGCCGCTGATATATACAGCATATACATAAATTAATTATTTGGGAAAATCAAATCAGATCCAAAAACATAAATGATACTCCTGTAGTCCTTAATGTAATACATATTTAAGAAATTTGATTAGATTAAAAAAGTTTGGTAAGTTAGTTAATTATAAGATATATGATATGTTTTTCCTAAAATACTATAATCATCTTTCTTAATATCATTTCTCCCTTTCTTACTTGATTATGGTAAAAAAAGTATCAATAGAGGTAATTTAAAAAAATAATAATAAATATAAAGAATAAACCTTACATTTAGGATTAAAATCAACTCAATCATTGAATACTACATTAAGAACCTAAGGAGTATAATGCATATGCATAATGCATCCGTATTAGTTGTGACCCTAATCGATTATGCTTGAAAGATTTTTTTTTTTTTCCCTGTTTATCCAAAAGGAAAAATCTTGTCGATCCAGAGCACAAGCATCAAATTTGATTAGGCCCTAAATAAAAAGCTCAAAAGCAAGTATCGATGCCCTGTGATGTGCCATTTCCCATTTGAGTTTTATTCTCAGGAAGAAGTACTCACATGTAGTACCTGACAGTATTTTGAATAAAATTACCTCCAATAGTAAGATACCTACACTTTAGCGGAAAAATAAATAAATAAATACAAGGGAGAAATGACATCTAATAAGTAATAACCTTCTAAAATCTTTAATTTATGGCCGCAAATTATAAAAGACAGATTCTTTGATACAAAGAAACGAAACTTTTAATTTCAAGAATTCCCAGTCCGCAAGTGTAACTAGAAACTTCTCCCGTGCAATATAAAATGTTATTTTGATATTTTCCCCAAAATATGGTGCCCTGTTAGTATAAAATGCTTATTTATCTACCTTCCTAATAACGATGCATAAAAACCCATTTAAAAAAAAACAACTAAGTACTTATTTGGATTTGGAATGGCGACAATATTTTTTAAAAAGTTTTTCAATGGTTATTTACAAAATATGAGGTAATCACATGAGAAAAGTATTATTTCACGTTGTGTCAATAGATAAAAGTAATCCCAAACAAATACTAAGGCTTAAGCCGTTTGCACTAATTTCACACGCTTCTGGCCCCATTACCTCCCCCGACCCAAAGAGCTTCCTACACAAACGACCTCCGAAAGCTTTGACCCAGGCTCCATTGAGTTGAGCCCTTTTTTTTTTTGGACCTTGAGTTGGCCCATATTCAAACAAGAGAAATGCTCAAATCCTAGTCCGTCACACTAATAACATCAAGTCACGTCACATCACATCAATTACGGATCTCATATCTGATCCGCAAAACCCAGAGACCCCATTTCAATTACAACAAATGCATCATTGCTTGTTCAATAAATTAGCTACTAAATGTGGAGACTCAAATTACTATCAATTCATCATCAACCAATTGCAGCAAAACCCAGGAAAGCAAAGCAACTAACCCACCAAGTTTGTATATATAAGCATTTCATTTTCAAAAGCCAGCCGTTATTTATCAAGAATACAATGGCAGCAAATTACTATCAATTCCCATACACTTTATGGGAAAGTAAGAGCATTTCCATGTCAGCAATTCTGCTTTTTAAAATTTACACAAGAGGATGATAGAAATCAACAGTTCATATAAGGATATACATTTCTGAGAATGTCATGTAAGTGCACCTCATTATTCGTCAGGTAAGAAACGTCCAGTAAGATTATCCATGGCAGAAAATTGCGAGCTCATGTTTTCAGATGGCTTCCAGTGGCGCTTTCTCTGATTAATAAACCAATTGTTTATTTGCTTATGGTCTAGACCCGTTGACTTGGCCAGAGCAATCTTGTCAGACTCCTGCATTTGCAAGTGTTTATAGTAAGGTGAGTAATTTCCATCCTGGTAAGACCAAGACGATTGGGAATGATATGATGAGGCAAAGGGCCTCTAATACCCCAACCTCCCAGATGTTTTTATTTTTTTATTATTAATCATTAAATTCTACATAAAATTAGTGACACTTTAATATCATAGGGTCATGATATTGTGCGATCTGAATTGTTTTGCTAATTTTCCCCAAAAAAAAAAAATCAAAACTACACAATTTTAAAATATTTTTCTTTAAAAAATAAAAAAATGCGTAATTTCAAGCCTCAACATATTAAAATGTCACTGATTTTGTGTAGAACCTAATAACCAATACAAAAATCAAAACAACATTCAGGAGGTTGGGACACCACAAGAGGCGTTAGAAAGTGAAAATATTAGAGGCCATTTGTCCAGTATAATCACAGCAAGCACAAGGCAAATAATAAATGTTTACCGTTGGGTATGGCCATTTGTAGTGAACATTCCACCACTCAAGCAGTGTTTGCCTGGCTTCTTTTGGCAGCTTACCCTTCTTCTTCTTCTTTGAGAACTCCAACTTCAAAGAGCCAATACGATTCCCAAACTTACGTAAAAGCCTATCCCTAAGCTCTTGGTCTTCATCCTTGGCTTGACCATCATCCTGAGCGTCTCCACCTTCAGTACTGAAATCTTCTTCCGAAGACACACCCCCATCATCTACCCAAATTGTCAAAAACCCAAATCATATCTATCCCAATTTTAGTGTTCTTACAAATATTCAAGAAGCAACATAAAAAGACTATAATTAAATAGTCTTGCGAAGCTGCAAGCAGATCATAATGGTAGGGAAGATGCAAATCATTTGATATGAAGGAAATTCATACCAGAAAAGATGCAAGTGCCATTTCAGACAAGACAAAAAAGAGATCACGAGCAGTTGGGGTGCAAATGCTAAAGTACGCAATGATTTAACAGATCTATAAAACTTGGCAGGTGATTTCATATGGTCCCTTGTGGTCTCACCTAAGCTTTTAGGCTTTGAATGGAGCCGACCGTTGGAGTGATTAGATTTGTTAATACTACTGAGCAATGACATTACCCGGCTCAACAGGCCGTAGTCATGTTAAAGAAATCTGGTAAAACAATAGTCCTCCTACTTCCATCCCAATCTGAACAGTTAAATTACAGTCCTAGGATATTTTGATTCAACAAATGATCCTAAAGATATATTTCTGAGATATAAAATTTAAATCTCCCCATTTTTCAAACTCAGTCATGCTATTTAAAAGCTATGAGTAGCTCAATTCACCTTTAAACTTTTTTGAAAAACAAATACTTAATAGGCTATCACTTGAACGCATTAAAAATTATGAGACTGAAAAGTAAATGTAAAAAAGTTACAACTTGAAATAGGAAAACACCCATCCAATGGTCCCACTTTCTTCATTTACACCGTTTTCTAATTTTGTTACCATTTAACCACGGAGAATCCACTCTTAATAAAAAAAAATTTACAAAAATGTATTATTATTTACAAGTTTAATATTGTTAAAACCTATCAAAATGTTAGAATTAAATCTAATTTGAGATTTAGTATCCTCCCTTTCCAATTGCTGAAATACTCTTTCTGGATCTTCACAACAGAAGTCATATTTTCTTTTCCTTTTTGATTTCCGTGCACGCACTAAAAAAGTAAGCGTGCTGCGTGCCCCACTCATAAGTAACTACACATCATGGTCACCCGAAAAAAAATAACACATCTTGGGCCCTACCTAACCCGCCCAATCATTTGTTTATCCAAACAAAAAACAAAATGATGTACCAAAAGACAGGCTCATCGTCTTCTGAGAACAGAAACATTTGCTTCTGATGGCAATTCAAAGAGAAGAGGAGAACAAGTAATGGAGGTGGTGGGGCGGGCCTAAGTCAGCCCACAAGCACCCACATTTAGGTTTCTGACAGGCACTATATCCGACAACAACTAGACCATCGCATGAGGACACTGTACAAACCCAGGGACCTACGTTGGAAAGCAAGAAAATAAAATCAGAGAGAAACTGTGTCTGTGTCTAGTTCCGTCGATTGTCAGTCAGACGCTCAGAGCCAACAAGAGAGACCCCTCCAAAGTTAATCTACCAAAACCAAATCCGGGACTGATCCAGGCTCTGGCTTGTTCCCCTAATCCATGAATCTAAGCTTTCACGAGCATGACCAGACAAGCTAGGAACCCTTAAAATGATACACAGGATAAACAAAACATTGCGCACCAGCTCAAGCATTGATCCAGCCTCTCTTTCTTCCAGGGATATGGTATTCTCATTTAATAATGCTCATCACAGTTATAAACACCGTGTGATGTAATGTGCTCCCGAGGTGTTATTTCTCACCTTCACCCAGATAGAAAATTTTTACCAGGAAAGAAAAGAGCAAAAGGTTTTGAAGGATGTGGGGTTAGTTAAAATTTAACATGCTAAACAATTTCAAATACTAACATTTAATAGATGTTTCTGCTTTGAAATTTCTAGCGTAGATTAGACAAGAAAGTACACACATGCTGATACAACAGACATGCACAGTGAAGCGGGACGAAAGAATTGATATTGCTCAGTCTCAGTGGCAGCTGGCAGGGGTCCCATACCTGGGTCTGGGAGATCAACAAGGTTTTATGCAAACACATGGGCCACAACGAAAAGAGAACAAATGGCAAGCACAAAGAAACGCAAATGCGTGGGGGAAGACAAGGCAAAGGCATTGAACGTTCTCTTGAGTGAGTCGAGAACCAAAAAGCTGCCTCACTCATGTCTCAGCGAAATCCGCGGGAGTGGACGTGAGAGTGGTAACTCTGGTGGATCACCCGTTACCCTCGGGGATTTTCCATATTGTACAAGGAAAAAAAAATTATTACCAAACAACGAGCTATTTATTATCATCGAAATGCCCCATTAAAGACCCTGACGAGTCTTCTCCAATTTCCTGCTTCAACAGTAACGAGAACAAAAGCTTTGGAAAGGGACGAAACTACGAAAGCTTTAAATAATACTGACCCGAACACAGAACTTTGTCAGAGGGCAAGACTGAGAAGAACTACCGGTTTACGCATAACCCAGATGTTATTTTAAAACAAAAAGCTTAGGATTTACTTAAAATATAAAATATAATATCAGCTCTTCAAAGAAGAAACTCAGCAAATAAACAGAAGGTTGGAGGGCCACGTCGGCACAAAGAAAACCAGAGGGATATTCTTCTTCCTACGACTAGTCACACATAATCACCATCAATAAACGATACAAAGTCCTTCTGAACAGTGGCCAAACATTATTCGACGACACATACGGGCAAACCATTAATCCTTATTTAATCAGAACATCTCAAGAAGGTAAACCAACACGTCAATTATCTACCTCATCACGCTGCAATAACTGCTAGTCTACCAGAAACAAAACGTTATAAATGTATTTTTTTCTTGGGGGGAAATAGATAAATTTATACTATTCTAATCCACGAAGTTAACGTATAAGACAACAATTTTTCATTAAAAAACGTATAAGACTACATTAAGAATTTCATTTGACATGCACAACCGTCTAGGACGGAATTAATAATCTCCACCAAATTTTTCAAGACAAGTAATACTACTGCAAATGGTCTTTCTCTACACACGGAGAATAATTTCCTTTGCATTTGCTAAGTTCAAAGGGAAAAAAGACATAATATTAGAAAAACACACAATTGTACATGGCATGAATTAGTGCAAGGAATTCTAATTTGATGATATGTATTGAATATCGAAGGTAGGGTGGAAAGGAGCAAAACCGATTGATTCAAATAAATTTTAGGAACTCGATTTACTAATCATGAAAATACATCCATTGGATAATGGATATAGGGAAGACGTGGCAATCCAAAAATTGTATCGGCCGTTTCAACCCAAAAAGAAAAGAAAAGAAAAGAAAAAGGAGGGGGAAATAGATTATGCAGCATATTACAATATTCATGTCTAAGCATATTGAAATACGCTTAATTAAGTCTTAATATCAACTTTAAGCAACAATGAACAGACACGCTGGGACATAAGAGCTTTGTAGCAACGTGTTCAAACGCGTAATTCCATTTAGTTTAAATCAAAATATGCATATATCCAGAAAAGGAGAAAGAACACTCGGAAAACACATTTTTCCTCAGAAATACTACCCCACGGACTTTAAGATTATCCAGCAAAGACATTTTTTTCCAAAAAAAAAAAAAAGGAATTAGCGCCAACCATGCTTGAATAAAACAGCAACATTTATAAGTTAAAATTTTGAGGGAAAAAAACTCTAGAACAAGCAAAAATATACCCACAAAAACTATCTGAAAATATCCTGACATAAAAAATAGGTCCAATCTGATGAAAACAATGGTTCCAATGCAGAATACGAAACTAGAATTAAAAACATAAAGGAAATCAAAATCACACATCATACCATCCCTATATGCTTTTTAGGAACACACTAAGGAATATAGATTTGCAGATGAGGATTATTGAGATGCTATGGACATCCAACAAAATGGCATTTAAAAAGTGTTAAAACGTCATCACTAAAAAAGAAACCTCTACTCTCTAACCAATAAAAAAAAAATAGCTGCCCACGATAGCCAAACCTGACCACCCTGGCAGCACTTAATTCATAATTGATAATTAATTATCAATTGCCAATCATCAGAACGCACTCTATGCCAACTTGCAAGCAAACTGCAGCAATTGCATAATTTCTAGCATAAAGAAAGAAAAGGTAGAGAAAAATCTGAATACTCAAGGTTACACTTATAGATCAAACAAAACAAATTCATACCACATGTACTGTTATTATGCTTTAAATTTAAATAGGATGAAAGGGGACCTAATCAAGGATTTCAGTAGAAAGTAACTGTTTGGCTCACAGAAGTAGAATAGAAGGCAATCGCTGAGTCCTAAAGGCAATGCATTACTTAAAAACAATCACTGTATTGATAAAAATTATGTTGATCGTAAGAATGCCAGACAGAATATAAGAACGGCAATATGGTTAGATTATTTCATGCTTAAAAATTATATTCATCCAAAGCTACTTTCGATTTTTAACAAGGAAAGAAAACCAGACATTACTTATGCTGCAATCAGGCTTCCAACACCCTAGACTATCACAATTTTTATCTCGCATCCAACTTCGCCACCTGTCCTCAATTGGAACTCCATACACTAATAATAAAGTACAAAAGCGACATCATTGCCATTACTGTCAGATCACGTTATGTTCATCTAATCCAAAATGGATGGATCTGAATTAATCTGTTTCTATACCATTAAGGAAACTTTTAGCCATAAAGTTCTAAGTGCAATTAAAAAAAGGAAAGAAAGAAAGCGCTCTACCCATACATGTGCATATTATAACGAAGCTTGAGGACATCTATTAAGTATAAAGAGAGAAAGATACTAAACGTGAAGTGCATTTAGATTACTGAAGTAACCACACTGCTGGATTGCTTTATGATGATAGATGCTCTTCTTTAGAATACTAAAACATGTTCTATAAAAACAAAAACCCAATATAAACTTTTTATTGCATTTTTTCAGCACCATTCCACATCCATATGTACAAACCTTCATCCTCCTCCATATAACAATTTTAAATATAGTATGCACAAGTCCAAATTAAGTCACCACTAAATTATTGTACAGTATTAGAGCAACAACACTAAGATATCATATTCATTTTGTTTTACCAAAAACTAGACTTATTAGTCTGTTTTGAAGTAGGTTCAGGAAAATCAGAACTTAAAAACTTACATAGCAGGAGTTCATGAGTGAAACAAAAGGAAACTGCTTACTGTATATAATTCTTGCTAGAAGAAAGTAAATTATCTCAAATAATAATTAGCACAACAAGAAACAAGTCATGTGTGGCATTGAAGACTAGCAAAAACTATACAAGCAGATTGTAGCATAAAACCAATGAGTATGGTATTATGCATGTGCTAGCCAGCCCAACGTGTTTTAGAATCCCAAATTCAGGCAATAAGTGATTAAACATCAAATCAAAATACAAAAGGAACAGCAGAAAAAACTATTTGAAGGGTCTCTCTATTAGTGGGTCTCAGGAGGAAAACAATATAACTAGTGAATAGTTAGTTTCAATATCAGACTACAATTCAAAGATATTGTCATCAAGGAGCTCTACAATGTCAAAAGTATGATAAGTCTATAGACAAAATGTATATTCACCGGCAGCAATCAGAAAATTAAAGAAATGAAATATATGAGAGTGAAGAAAACGCCAAGAAACGAAACAAACAAGACAAGTCCAAAGAAGTAATAAATTCATGATCCATATAAAGAAGGAACTGAACAAGGTGAAAGGTTTCAGACACTGGTGCTAGCCATGAATGACTAAACAACGCCAACTTTTCCCCAATAACGGTTGAGGCAAGGAACACGGGCAAATAGTAAAATCACAGATGAGCAAAGTATTTCTAAAATTTTACTGGAAAGCAACGGAGTAAGAAACAGAGATCGTATTATTGATTCTTAGGGTTCTATCTTTTGCTTATTTTACTTTAAAGCTGCGTAGTATTGTTTGTGCCGTCTATTATTGCAAGCACGTATTTACAGTTAGCGAGTAAGATTATTCTGCGAGCATTATTTGTGTCATTGGCCAATGGCTTTCTTTCAGAAAAAGCGAAGAGATCATTATGCAACTCTAATATTCTAAACTAGGTGTAATAGATATAATTACAACCCCACAACGTTTTTTAAACAAACATTGATTACTGAAATGACATTTCTACATAAGAAAGGTAAGGGGGAGAGCGAGAGAGAAGGTAAGAACTGACCGGAAAGGCTTAGAACGGAAGCAACACTACAGAGATCGCTGAGCTGGGTTTCGATCTTGTTGAGGAAGGAAGTTGCTTCATCAAAAGGCCGAGCAAGATCAGATTTATACTTAACCAGCACGTCGCAGTAGGTTTCCTGAGAAGCCCAGTGCAGATACCCGTGTCTTTAGTAATAATTATAATATAGTGATCGCAGAGAAGAAACCAAAATCACAGACCCAATTTTAATAAAACAATTATTTTCGTCCTCTATAAATACATGCGTTTGTGTGTGCGCGTGTGCAAATATGAGAGAGAGATTGAGAGGAGTGAGAGAAGAACGAAGAGAAGGGAAGGAGGGGGGGACCATGAACTCGTCAAGCTCGGGGTCGTCTCCAAAGCACGTGGAAACAACGTCCCTCCTGCTAAGGTCGTTTTCTCGCCGGATTTCGTCCAACAAACATGCTATTTCTGGAGGTGCTCCAACCTGCGTGCGCCGTCCCAAACAATATTAATCATCACAGCGATTAGTACCAAATATTAAGTAGTCGTAGACTGCAAAGAAAATATTTCGTTTCAAAATGTCCAGAACCAAAACCACAATAAGGTAAGACGAAGTACAAGTAAGCTACTCATTTTCATAGTCACTTCGACGTATTTCATATGCTCAGAAATGCAAGGCCACACAGCTCTGAGCAAGTATGAGAAAGAACCATGACCAGCTCAGCTTGAGTTTGGCTACACAACGCGCAAGCAAATCTCACTGGCTTGTCTATAACTCGTGCTCCTCAAGCATTATTTAAGAAAATGAAGAAGTGAAAGTTCGCAAATCCAAGCATACAAGAATCTAACCGAGGCTTTTGGGTAAAAACCGATTCAAGAATTAAATCCTCAAAAGGTTGATATTAGGTGCAAAGGGAGTGATATTATGTGCAAGGGGAGCTCAGCTTGTTCTCGTTGGGCTTGGTTCTTCTTCTGGTGACTATCTCAAACACCTTGAGAACATTCAAGAAGAAATAAAAGCAGCAGAGAACAATTCACCTGCTGGCAATCGATGTAAGCTTGAATGAGACGAGGATAGTGAGGATGAGATGCGATTTTGGCTTTGATGATGGAGAAAGAATCGTCCTCTTGTGGCCGAAATTCAGGAGCAGCGACGGAGGCTTCGACTTCGGTAGAGGCAGCAGAAAGCAACTCGTCGGATCCTAAAACGGGAAACCGATCACGGAAGCCAGGTTGTGCGGCGGAGGAAGACATGAGGAAGCTCTGGTAGTCGGCGGGGAAAATCAGATTCTCCGGAGACATGATGGCTTTGTCGGAGTAATCCATGGGGGACGATGAGAACCCGTACATTTCCTCCATTAGCAGCAACCACCACGAAACACAACGAACACAGCGTCGCGTACCTTATCTCGGGCTCCGCCACAGCGGCCACCGTTTCTAGAAGCAAAATATAATACTATTAACTGGCTTATCAGAATTATGCTCCCTATCTTTTTCTATCCATTACGACTACTGTATATTTCAGGAGAAGATTATCCTAATAATATTTTTTGATTTACTGTGAATTTAGATAATAAAGCAACCATTGGCTGCTTATGACAGTGAATTATTGTTGAAATTAAAGCTCAGAAGGAGAGAGAAAGAGAGAGTTCTTGAGGACTGAGATTTCTGAAGCGCAGAGCCGATGGCAGCAGAAACAACAGACAGTGGGAGCGGGAGGAGAGGGTGAAGGAGAAGAGAAGTAGCAGTGTGAACGAGGAAGAGGAGCAGTAAAAGGCCCTCCTGAACTGAAGGCGTTTCCTTCTTTTGCTTTTACGATTTTTTTTTAAAGTGTGATTTTGGTGCCGTTACGAAATATCATGAGATAAAAAATTAAGAAAAGTTTTGGTTGGACTTATATAAAACATATTTATAAATAATTTCAATCATCACGCCATGCAAAGCCTTTTCTGTGTATAAAATCTATATAGTTGTAGTAAATTTTGTAGATAAAATCATATCAGTTTTTCTAGCGAATAAAATTTTTAAATAAGGAATTCTCATATCTTCTTGTTTTTAAAAAATTGGTCAAAAAATTCATGATTAAAAATTAATTGTGCAAAGAAACATTGAATTTATTTTAAATGCAATCTATCTTATTTATATGCATATAAAAATATGTTGCCAGGAATTGTTTACCAAATTTTTCTCACTTTTTTTGTAATTTTTAATTTTTTATTAAAATGCTGTGAAATAAAAAGGTTATTTTTCATCATTGATACAGAAAATTTTTGCTTACTTCAGCAATATCATGTTTCCCTAAATAATTGTCAAGGCTTGAGGTAATATTATGAGCTTATTTTGGATAAGGTAAAATGGATTGACATGACTTTACCACGATCACGTGAAAGAGAGTCTTAAAAGGAGTGGTAAGTGGAAGGGTATTGGTAGAGAATGACTTCTTCCTAGCTCTTTAAAATGATGGAATGACAAAATTACACATCAATAAATGCATAATACCCTCTTTAATTGTTTGTCGCTGCTGTTATATTATTATATAACATAAAGTTATATGTGGAGTATTATTTTACTCCCTTCTTTTTGTTCATCCTCGTATTAAAAGCAACTATATTTAAAACATTGTTAGGCGTTAAACATGAAGAATATAAAGCATTTTCACTCAACTCATGCCCAATTACCCATCCAAAAAAAAAAAATAGTGCATGTTTGTTACCCAACTCAAAAATTCAAAATTATGTTTCCTAAGCCCATCCCAAAATAACAAGCAAGAATTCTATTTAAAGATCATATTCACAAATTAATTGTTAAGAATATCACTCACATTAAACAAATTTATCGGTCTAACTATGAGTATTTATCATTCATGTAACGTAAATTTGCAATGAGATTAAGGCTGTGTTTGGGTGACACCCCAAACCATGGTTTGGGGAATAAATCACCCAAACACCCACCCAAAAACCAAAACCATGGTTTTGAAAAAAGCAAAAAAAATTTGCTTTTGAAGAAAAAAAGAAGAGTATAAGAGCCTATAGGATATGTATCTTGTTATTTGTTTTATAAACATATTTTTTTATAAACATATTTAATCTTATATTTTATAAATATATATACATATTAATTATTTATTAATTATATTATTTTATGTATTATTAATTATGTTAATAAAAAATATATTATTAACAATTTTATTCCTTCAAATTAAAATATATCATAAAATCTATTTTTCTGTAATTATCATATTAACTTATGTCTTTTTTTTTTGTAATTTGTATATATAAAAAGTGCTTCTGATAACAACTATCCAAACACTCTCACTTCTTAAAATCACTTTTTCATAAAATCTATTCTTTCCAGAATCTATTCTTACTATAATCTATTTTCCAGAATCACTTTTCCAAACCATGGTTTGGTTTCATCCAAACACACCTTAAAAAGATATTTAACGATATCTATCACTCAAGCAACATAAATTTACAAAGAAACAGTCAGCATTTATTATTAATGATGATATCATGATTAATAAATTTGCGAATTTAGTCCTTTGTATGCAATTCTCTTAGAAAAGCAACTTAGAGACTTCGTCAAGTGGGTTTTCTTAAAGATAACTTACTAGATCCAAACATGTCCTTAATGAGTGGACATCCCATTTCTTTTAAGTTTAAAAAAACATTACAATGAGGTCCTAAAAAAAATAATCACAAAACAAGTTCTAAAAGTTATTATTTTCTATTCGAAAACTTATTTGTTATTGAGATTTTTTAGTAATTTTTTTTATCTCATTGTAATTCTTCCTTAAATTTATGCTTGTTTAGTACCAATCACTAATGAATTGGGAAACAAGTAATTTCAATGAGGCCTTAGGAATGTTTTAGTGTAAAAATATCCTAACAAATTAGTCTTTTTTTTTTTTAAACTAATAGCATGCAAAACAAGACGCCGCACCATTTATAATAATTAATTAATTATATTATGAAACTACCGGCACATTCATTACATAGTATATAAAAGCTAAAATTTTGAGATAACCCTACAAATCTCTTGTTGATTAAGTGGCTAGCTCAGGTTCCTGTGTCCACTTTATATTGGCCCAAGTAACGAAAAAGAATGATTTATGTCGGAGCATAATTTTAGTTTTATTAATTTAAAATTATTTATCATTCATTCAACTTTTCAATTTCAATACTACCTTTAGATCTGTTTACCAAAAAAAAAAATACTGCATCAGATCTTTAATACAAAATCTAATTAAACTTATTTTTAAATATAAAATCTCAATTTATTTTATTATTTAAATTTATAATTTATTTTCTAAAATGTCTTTACTAATACACATATCAAGAAAATTTTCATTCAATGATAATCATGATTAAAATAATACTTTAGGAAAACTATCTCATATTTATTATAAATAACTAACTCAACAAACTTTTTAATCTATTCAAATTAATTAAGTAGTTTTTATATTAAGGACCACATGTAATTTGTAATCTTTTTTTACCCCTTTGTATCTCAACTAATTTTCTTAATTTATGTAAATTGATTGTCTAACCATACAATTAGGACTATAGGGAGTATCATATTCCAAGTCTATATGCAATTTTTTGGACACAAAATTTATATGTAATTTATTTCAAAAATTTGCGTGCTTAAATTTAAGGTGATCTCCGAAGCTTTATAAATGTGAACTTTGCATGATGCATTAGTTTGGTAAAACTTGAGAGGGGGAAGTGGGGGTCAAGATTCCAGACTCGAGATATGTAGAAGAAAAAGGTTTTACTGATATTTTATTTACCGTCTTGACTCAGCAAAGACCATATGTTTGTTATTATTTGTGCAAGAATAATAAGGAAGTGTTTGGATAGAAACCAAACCATGGTTTCAGAAGTGTTTTTACGAATTACGAAGTAAATATGTGGAGGAGGTTACCTCGTTTTGCGAAAAAGTGCTTCTGAAACCACGGTTTCAGAGCACCCAAACAGGCCTTAAATGAAATTGCACGTGTTCATTGATTACTTCCCAATCTTCGCATTCACGGATACACAGAGATGATAAAAGCCCTAGTTGTTTCCTTAAAAATACTCATTGTAATATTTTTTTAAATTTAAAAGAAATACTTTTGTGATATCAGTAATTGTTTTGACTGGAATGCATTAATATTAATGATGGATCTTAAATCCAGAGAGCATAATGCCAATGCCATTTGCTATTTGGTCCCTCAAGCCTACGCTTTGAAAGGTCAACATCAGTCTTATCCCAAGGGCTAATGCCTCTGATTTCTCACCCTAAAAGGCTTGCAATTATTGGTGAAGAAAAGTATTTGTTTATTCTTAAACCACTAATTAAGGGATTACTAATAAATTAGCAAAGTTGCATTCCCTTTGTGCTTAATAAAAGACTTTTTTTTTTGGTAATATAAAAACTTAGTTGCACAATTAATCTCTACAAATTTAAGCAAAATAACTTGGATATTTATCGTTATAAAACTTTCTAAAAAACACCCATGCACATAAATTATTTTTTTGGGCCAGCCCATGTACATAAAATTAGAGGAAGTGTATATTATCTTTATTACTCCTATGAGATATAAAACAAGTTACCCCCCTTAGTCTTATATAGCAATTTTCTATAAAAAAAAATTGCTAGTCTATATGGTAGCCATTTTGCATAACAAAAATACATGTTAATCTTTTTCAAATCACATATGTTTACAATTTCTTATTTTTTTAAAAAAATTTGAGTCCAGATAGAAGTCACCTTTAAAGGTTAGGAGAAAAACAGTAAAATAACCTCAAAATTACTAAATGACAAATCAAGATAGGTGAATTTCAAAATACTAATTCAAACTCCAAATATCATTTTGGAATTTTCAAATCTTGTAAAACGACAACACTGTTTTTACTTTCGGTGACTACTTTCATATAGCTATTGACTACTTTAATTTAACCAAATCTCCAACAACACTTAATGTATTTTTTAAATTTTTGAAACAAAAACAGTCAATAGCGAAATTAGAGTAGTCAATAACCAAATAAAATGAGTCATCAAAATTTTAAAAATAAAAGTAGTCAATCACAATACTAGAGTAGTCAATGGCTTAACAAGAGTAATCATCAAAGTTTAAAAACAAATATAGTCAATAACTAAAAAAGAGTAGTTAATATATAAGAAAGAGTAATTACTGAAGTTTCGGTGACCAATTACCGGCAGGGTAGTCAACGTCAAAAACTCTGACGACCGGAAATGCTAAGGGGGTAGTATTTGAAAAAAAATAGTAAAAAAAAATAAAGGGCATTTATGTAATTTTATAATATTTCAAAATTTTAAAAAGATACTTGGAGTCTGAATTAAGATTTTAAAATTCACGTACCTTTGTTTGTTATTTAGTTTTTTTGAAGATATTTTACTGTTTTTTTTTCTAAGAGTT